GGGGGGGGGGGAATGCCCAAAGATGATTGAAAACAAAGCTGCGATCAGTGCCAACTTCAAAATCGCTTTTTCAGATTGACTCCTTCCTTATCCCCTTTTTCAGTTACTTCAGGATACCTGCACTATATTTGTCTATAAGAAGGAAAATACTAGTCCTGTGAGAAGTACTGGCAATGAATTACATGGGTCAATATTGTAGTATTTTTAACATTTTAGACCAGTCTCAATAAATTTTCACTTCTGTTTTTCTCGTAGTGTTATTTCAGAAGAAAAAACTTGAGATATTTTCTAACTGGTTTGAGTAGTTCTATGTTTAATATGTACGCGTTAAAATTAAGTGTCTTAGATTTGTAATCTTTGATCACTTTAAACAGGAAGAATATCTATGTATTATAAAACTGGAGGATATAGAATACTGGGGGGTTTTAAATGAGGCTATACCTGTTATCTTTTTCCTCCATCCTTCCTTTTTCATTCTTAAAACAGAACATAATTTTTTCACTCTTGATGTGGGTAGTCTCTGGAACTAAACTTTCCTGCTTTTTGAGACTGGAAAACGCTTGCTACAAAGGACCTCCTTTGATCAGGTGCATTTCAAAAGTGAAATTTTCCCTCTCTGGGGGAAAATGTCTCCATTCCTGTAAGTGAACATGGAGGGATTCTGAGTTACAGCCCATGTTGCAGCACTTGTCTTTCTGGCGTGGCAGCTGGAAAAAGAAGTTCTTTCTTTAAATTGTTAACAAATGCACTATCCCAGTAACCATAGCTAGAAAATCACAATATTAACTTTTGACTAATCCTCCTTCACTTTTTTTTTTTTTACAGTTTTAGTCTTACTCTGAAACTCTATTTCAAAACTGTAGGACATGAGGAAATATTACCTAATGAGCACCAGGACTTCATGCATAATACCAGAAATCAGACCTGTTTGGCATGTCATAGCAACCCCTTGCTTGCCTAAGGTTTATTTTAAGCTATATGTGAATTTTGTTACCTAAACTCCATGCTGTCCACAGGTAAATTTCACTAATTCTGCACTGAGAAAAATTAACCCCAAGTTTACTTCCTTTGCTGTAATTTCATTAGAAGAAAAATGAGTCCTATCGCTTCAGAAAATTGTAATCTCCAGCCTCCTCTGCAGTCACCCAGCAGCTTCAGGGGTGGGTCAGCCCACTTACCTCATTGCTGTAGAGCAACAACAAATGTCAGTGCCTCCATTGCCTAAATTTAGGTGTGAGGAACCCTAGCCTGTCTTTTTTTTTTTTCTTTTTAAATCAACATTTGCAAAAATACATCGGCTTTGAAAGGTGCAAACTGACTTTCCTTACAGGAGCTATGTTGCTTTTTTCCTGGTATATTCAATGTAGTCCAATAAGCACAATACTGTTAGTATTCTTCCTAGGCAAAAACTAAATCTTTTTTTTACTCTAATGAAGGTGAAACTCTGATTTGTAGTATTGTTGTTTAGCTACTTTTGGGTGTTGGGCACTGTATCAGTTTCATTTATGTGTACATTCCCTGGCAAAATCTTTCCGTGGAAATACAACTCATTTCCATGTACAGTTATATACAGAAATGAGCTTGCAGTTCTAAAGCTAATTTACTTTGCAGTGTATTTTGGTCATATAAATAAGCATCCATTTCTTTAGATACGCTACAGTAATTGGAAGTACCTGTGGACAGTACTGGGATCACGTAACAAAATGAGGCAGCCAGGCTGAACCAGAACATCGGGCTCCATTACTGCACAACTGCTTTAACATCTATCATTTTGAAGCACAAGGAATCAGACAGCTCAAGCTTTGCTGAGCGTACAAATTGCACAGCAAGTTCCTAGGTTAACGATGGGCCCTAGAGGTGAACTGCTGACCCGCTCTGGAGTCCTGCGCAGCCTTAAGGATGCGTTTATTAATTGCCTGTTACGGAGGCAACTCAGTTATTTCAGAGTTGGGCATGGCAGAGAGGCCTGTTCACAATAAAGAGCTGGCTGGACACAGCCAGAAGCAGCAGCTGCCAGCAGCACTGAGAGCAGTGTTACTAGGGAACAAGAAAAGCCAAGCTGAAGAAAATAAAAGCATAATTCAATAGTGACTACCAAAAATCTGGCTTCATTATGACTGTGAGTACTCTTGGAAATGATCAGGCCTTCCACATTCAACCTGGCAAACAGGGAAGTTTAGAGAGCAGCTGAGTCTTTAGCTGGAACCAGAGCTGCTTAACTTCAGCTGCAGACCATCAGCTGTGGTACCAGGGCACAAAGGAGTCAGCGCACTGCAGGCTGTGCACACCATGGCACTGCAGTCACAGCAGGCAATGGACATGCCTTGGGGCAGAGACTGCAGCCAGTGAACATCCAACCATATTAAGTCCAAATCTTTACCTCACCTCTGGGATCAGTGAGGTGATCAGTGATCACCTCTCAGCACTTGTGCAGCCTTGCCAGCAGCGTCCTAATTGCACATCGGAGCAGGACGCATACCAGCCACCCCAACCAAGGCATTAGCGGGCAGTTCTTGTACTCTCCTGGGACATCTCCAGATTGAGGGCATGCACTAATCCTGTAAAACTGAAAAACAGGAATTTTTAGCCTTCACCTTTTTTTTTTTCATAACCACTT